TTGTAACGAGAAACCTGGGAACTATAGACCTGTTAGTCTGACATTGGTTGTGGGTAAATTGTTGGAGGTGATTATAAAATATAGGATTTATGGACACTTAGAGACACAAAAATTGGTTATGGATAGTCAGCATGGTATTGTGTAAGGTAAATCATGTCTCACAAAATTGATTGAGTTTTTTGAGGAAGTTAACAAAAAGATTGATGATGGCAGAGCAGTAGACATTATTTATATGGATTTTAGTAAAGCCTTCGACCAGGTTCCACATGGTAGACTAATTACTTAAGTTAGGTCACATGGGATTTAGGGCAAGCTTGCCAATTGGATATATAATTAGCTTAATAGCAGGAGACAGAGTAATAATAGAGGCTTTTCAAACTGGAGGTCTGTCTCCAGCGCTGTTCCACAGGGATCAGTTTTGGGCCAAATCTTGTTTGTCATTTATATAAATGATTTGGATGAGAATATAGAAGGCATGGTTAATAAATTTGCAGACGACATCAAAATTGGTGGCATAGTGGACAATGAAGAAGGTTTTCTAAGATTATGGGTCAATGGGCTGTAAAATGGCAGATGGAGTTCAATCTGGATAAATGTGAGGTATTGCATTTTGGTTCAGCAAACAAGGGTGGGGCTTATACAATTAATGGCAGGGCCTTGGGTAGTGTTGTAGAACAGAGGGGCCTAGGGGTGCAGGTATATAATTCTTTGAAGTTTGCTTCACATATAGACAGGGTGGTTAAAAAGGCGTTTGGCATGCTCAGTCCTTTGAATATAGGAGTTGGGAAGTCATGTTGAGGTTGTACAGGACATTGGTGATGCCTCCTCTGGAATACCGTGTCCAGTTCTGGTCGCCTAGTTATATGAAGGATATTATCAAGCTGGAGAGGGTTCAGAAGAGATTTACCAAGATGTTGCTGGATATGGAAGGTTTGAGTTATAAAGAAAGGCTGGATAGGCTGGGACTTCTTTCACTGGAGCATAGGAGGTTGAGAGGCAATCTGTTGAAGTTTATAAAATATTGAGTTAATAGTAGTTGTCTTTTCCCTAGGATGGGGAATTTCAAGACAAGGGGACACATTTTTAAGGTGAGAGGAGAGAGATTTAAAAAAGACATATGGGGCAAATTTTTTTTTACACAGAGGGTGGTTTGTGTGTGAAATGAACTTCCTGAGGAAGTGATGGATGCGGTTACAATTACAACGTTTACAAGACATTTGGATAGATACATGAATAGGAAAGGTTTGGTGGGAATAGTTTAGTTTAGTTTAGTTTGGGATCATGTTCGGCATGAACTGGTTGGACCGAACAGTCTGTTTTCGTGTTGTATGACTCTATGACTCTATACACGTAGCAAAAAGTAGAAATAAACAGTCTTTTTCCAAATGGCTGGCAGTTACTAGTGGGGTACTGCAGGGATTACTGCATGGACCTCAGATATTCACAATATATATTCATGATTTACATGAGGGAACTAAATTTAATGTCTCCAAGTTTGCAAATGACATAAAACTGGGGACGGTGAACTATGAGGAGGTGGTGAGCAGAGATGCTTCAGTGTGATTTGGACAAGTTAAATGTGAGGTTATCCAGAAAGGCAGATTCTTATCTAAATGGTGACAGATTGGGAGAGAGGGTGCTGAAGTGAAACATACGTGTCCTTGTACATCAGTCACTGAATGTAAGCAGGCAGTACAGCAGGTGGTGAGGAAGGCAAATGGTATGTTGGCCTTCATAGCAGGAGTATTCAAGTTGCAGTAGTCTTGTTAGTAATTGCACAGGATCCCGGTGGGAATGCAGTTGGAGTACTGTGTCCAGTTTTGTTTTCTTTATTTGAGGAAGGCCGTTTTAGCTATGAAGGGGGTGCAACAAAGGTTTACCAGACTGATTCCTGGGATGGCAGAATTAACCTTTGAATCATTTAGGACTGAAATCACTAGTGTTTGGAAGAATGAGGGGTTGGGGGAATATCATAGAAATATATAAAATTCTCATAGGACTAGACAGGGTAAACAAAGGAAAAATGTTCCTGAAGACCAAGGAGTCTAGAACTAGGAGTCACAGACTGAGGATACAGGGTAGGCCATTTAGTACTGAGATAAAAAGAGATGGGGAGAACGGCAAGCCTGTAGAATTCTGTATCACAGAAAGCAGTTGAGGCAAAAATACTGATAATTAGATTTAGATGTTATATAGGGTAGGCAATGGCCTAATGGTATTATCACTGTTAATCCAGAGAACCAGGTAATGTTCTGGGGACCTGGGTTCAAATCCTGCCATGGCAGATGGTGGAATCTGAATTCAATAAAAAATATCTGGAATTAAGAATCTAATGATCACCGTGAATCCATTGTCGATTGTCGGAAAAACCCATTTGGTTCACTGCCATCTTTACCTGGTCTGGCCTACATGTGATTCCAGACCCACAGCAATGTGGTTGACTCTAGACTGCCCTCTGGGCAAATTAGGGATGGACAATAAATGCTGCCTAGGCAGTGACGTCCTCATCCCATTAATAAATAAAGGAAAAAAAAGATTTAGATATTATATGGATATGAGGTTGTAGACTTGCTTGCCGAGCTGGTGTGTTTGATTGCAGACGTTTCATTATCCTGCTAGGTAACAACATCAGTGCGCCTCCGGTGAAGCCAAAAATATTTTCTGGTCTTACGACATTTTTTAACGGGAGCTTGCCATGTGCAAGTTTCCTACATTACAATAGTGACTACATTGAAATAGGACTTAGTTGATTTGAGACATCTTGTGGTTGTGAAAAGCATTTTATAAATTCAAGTTTTTTTTTCACATACTCAAATTTAGGGAAAATTCTGATAAATTTTTGATAGAATCAAAGAATCCCTACATTATGGAAGCAGGCCATTCAGCCCATTGAGTCACACCGACCCTCCAAAGAGCATCCCACCCAGACCCACCCCCTTATCCTATTCCTGTAACCGTGTATTTCCTATGGCTAACCCACCTAGCTCGCACATCCCTGCACACTATGGGTAATTCAGCATGGCCAATCCACCTAACGAATATCTTTGGACTGTGGCAGGAAACCTACCCAGACACAGGGAAAATGTGCAAACTCCACATAGGCCACCTCCCAAGGCTGGATTTGAACCCGGGTTCCTGGTGCTGTGAGGCAGGAGTGCTAACCACTGCTGCACCATGCCCGCAATTTCATTTGGCAATCAGGCAAACTTTCCACACATTTGGTATTACATAAATTTTTACTAATCCTCGGGGGAGGCGATGGCCTAGTGGTATTATCGCTGGACTGATAATCCAGAGACCCAGATAACGTTCTAGGGACCTGGGTTTGAATCCCGCGCCAGCAGATGTTGGAATTTGAATTTCATAAATATCTGGCATTAGGAATCTAATGATGACTGTGAATCCATTGTTAATTGTCAGAAAAACCCATCTGGTTCACTAATGTCCTTTAGGGAAGGAAACAGCCATCCTTACGTGGTCTGGCCTACACGTATTTCAGACCCACAGCAATGTGGTTGACTCTTAACTGCCCTGTGGGCAATAAATGCTGCCTAGCCAGCGATGCCCTCATCCCGTGAATGAATAAAGAAAGAAAATCTTGCACATTGCCCTTGAACTGAAAAGATTTCTCCTCTTTCAGGAACTTGTCCAGCTTCCTTCTGAAGAACTGCTGAGAATCCAATATTTTCTCTATACTTGGGTAAATCTTTTCTAGAAATCCTACTCGAATAAGATGTGCCTCATTACAAATGTGGGGGATATTGGGTGAAAATAAAATGATATTCAGGGAGAAACAGAGCCAGTTTGGTGCAGCAGAAAGCACCAGGATTCATCAGCAATACATCAGACATAAATTGTAGGAAATACTTCTGTGATCCAGAAAGGAAATTAGTAACAAAAACCAAAGTTAGGAGAAATCATAAAACAAAATAGTTTCTTGTGCAGTGTAATATCAATGCCTACACTGTCACAATAGTTTTAAAAGTTTATTTACATGAAAACACCAACATTCCTATTTCAGGGAGAGGCTCAAATTGCATCAGACTTTCCAATGACACAAATTATGAGGAACATCCAGGTGCAGTTCCAACGTAACTAGAAAGGCACTGCTTTAAAGTTGCTTTAAGGCTCCAGGTCTTGGGAAATGGTATAACAGGTTAAGACATAAAAGATCTTTTCCCTCTCAGCTTGTATTAATAACTAAGTTATCAAACCGGTGATACTCTTGAAACAAAAGTGATCCAACCTATGCAAAGTCAACAGCAGCAGTTCTTCATGAGAATTAATTTCCTTTTCTAGCTTGCCAAATTAAAAAGGTTAACTACATAGGTTACAGATGTGCAGTATTACTTACACATAGCAGATATTTCTTAAGGGTGTCAGAATTGTTTCCTGTAATTATTTACTCCCATCATGCACTTCTGATACACCCAGGGCAAAGCCATAAGAGAACTAGTGGCACATATAAAGTCAAATGCATATATGACTGTTATGTTTAGTGCAGGAAGGAATATCAACATCATTCATCTTAAACATAATGAATAAATACTTGCACAACTAGCCCTAATCAGCATTAGTGTATTTTTAATAAAACTTATTAAAGACTTTAATACTCACCAGGTGACATTCTGAGGACGAATAATGATCTTCCTGTATGCTCCTGATAAGGAATAATCTCGAATCTTGTGTTTCATATTATTTATATCCAAGCCATCTGCAGCCATCATTTCTTCATAGGCCTTGCCAACTTAAAATAAACATATAAATAGACAATTATTATAAACAGCCATTTCTCTATTATATAAATGTCCCAAAATATTAGGAATTATTTTACGGAACAATGCAAACATAACAAATGTTCAGAAGCCAGAAATCATAGTAAAAGAGCATGATCCTAAAAGCCGAAGTAAGACAAGCATACAGTAAATTTTTTTCAGTGATTTTTAAAAAATTAACTTTAAATCTATGGCATCCAGACAGAAAATAAATAGTATTGAGAGCAACTTTGTAAGATTAATTGATTAATTTTTCTCTTTCTAAAGCAAAACATTGAATTATCTTGCATCAAAATTGTAGAAAAACACAATAATCAAACTCTTGCTGCAAGAATATTGACACAATAGATCTGAATTTAACAAAACAAGGTTAGCGAAATCTACTCAGTTCTTCTCTGACTTTTAGAACTTCAGCAGCATTGTCCAGTAGTGCATACTGCCCAACATGTTAATTTGGTAAACATCCATCTGGCTAAGCAAGAAGCAGGAGTCAATCTGTCTTAACTGTAGGTTTTGTACACAGTACTCAGTACAGCACAAGTACAGACAGCCTTTCTTTTCTACAGATTGAACCCCCAGCCAGTAGTAACTGGTTTTTAAACTCTTTTGAAGTTGACATAACAAATTAAACTATTTGAGGATAAATCCACATCTGGCATGTGGGAATCTTTTAAAAGTAAGTTGATTAATTCAGGACCAGCATGTTCCTGTGAAAAAGAACAATAATGATGGCAAGATTCAGGAATCCTGGATGACAAGAGGAAGTGGGAGCTTAGTCAAAAAGAAAAAGGAGGAATACATAAGGTTCAGAAAACTGAAGACAGAAAGAGCCCTCAAAGGTTATAAAAGATAGCAAGAAAGAACTCAAACAAGGAGTTAGAAAGGCTAAACGAGGCCATGAAATGTCTTTGGGAAACAGGGCTAAGGAAAATTCCAAGATGTTTTATACATATATAAGGAACAAGAGGGTAGCTAGGGAAGGGTAGATCCACTCAAGGACAAAGTAGGGAATTTATGCATGAAGCTGAAAGAAGACGGTGAGCTCCTTATTGAACACAGTTTACATTGGTATTCACAAAGAAGGACACCGTGAATGGTGAGTCTCAGGTGGGGTATATTGATATTCAGGGGCATGTCAATATAAAAAAAGGTGGTGGTGGTGAGTGCTTTAAAAAGCATTAAGGCAGACAAGTCTCCAGTACCTGATGGGATCTATCCCAGAAAAAATGAGGGAGGCAAATGAAGAATTGCTGAGGCCCTGTACAAAATCTTTGTATCCTCTTTTGTCACACAAGAGGTCCCAGAGAATTAGAGACTAGTCAATGTTGTTCCTTCTTTTAAGAAGGGCAACAGGGAAAATCTGGGAAATTACAGGCAAGTGACCCTTACGTCAGTGGTAGGGAATTTATTAGAGAAGGTTCTTGGGGATAGGATTTACTCATATTTGGAAAAATATGAACAAGCAGCATGGCTTTGTGTGTGGAAAGTCATGTCTCACAAACTGATTGTGTTGACTGAGGAAATTATAAAGCTGATTGGTGAGGGCAGGGCAGTAGATATTGTCTATGTGAATTTTAGCGAGGCCTTTGACAAGGTCCCTCATAGCAGGTTTTTACAAAGGTGAAGTCACATGATATCTGCAGTGAGCTGGTGAGATGGATACAGAACTAGATTAGTCATAGAAGACAAAGTAGCAATGGACAACACAAGTGATTCAGCATGGCCAATCCAGCTAACCTGCATATCTTTGGACAGGAGGAGGAAACTGGAGCACCCAGCAGAAACCCACACAGGCACAAGTAGAACATGCAAACTCCATACAGTCACCCAAAGCTGGAATCAAATGCAGGTGACACAAACATTGGCAAGCTGCAGATAGTGAGGAGGATTGCCAGAGCGTACAGCAGTATGTAGATAGGCTGGAGACTTGGGTGGAGAAATGGCAGATGGAGTTTAAATCGGACAAATGCAAGGTGATGCATTTTGGAAGATCTAATGCAGGAGAGAAGTATACAGTAAATGGCAGAACGCTTAGTAGCAACAACATATAGAGGGATCTAGGCATACATGTCCACAGTTCCCTGAAAGTGGTAAATTGCAAGTGGATAAAGTAGTCAAGATGGCATATGGCATGCTTGCCCTCATTGGTCAGGGTACAGAGTATAAAAATTGGCAAGTCGTGTTGCAGCTGTATAGAACTTCAGCTAGGCCATATTCGGAATACTGTGTACAGTTCTGGTTGCCACACTATGATAAGAATGTAGAGGCTTTGGAGAGGGTACAAATGGTTTACCAGTTGCAGAAAGCCTCAAAGCAAATCAGTAGACAACACAAACTCACTCCCTAGGGACACCTGGGCACAGACATAACAACAGAAAAGAAGCATCCTCTCCATGTATGCTGCCTATAACCCAAAAATGGTCACATTAACCAGGCCCAAGAGCAGCCCTTGTGGAATTCCTCCAACTTGTCTGAACCCCTCTGCACTGGGTGGCCGAAGATCAGGAGTTTGGGGTTGAAGTGCAACCAAACATTCAGAGGTAATCCTGTCAAATATTGAAATAGGGGCTGCAATCTGGCACAGCATGTGTAAACATGAAATATAGACTTCTCAAAGCCGTAAAATATACAGGTGGCCTAGGAGTCTATGAATCGTTTAATATGCCGTTGCACAGCACTGCTGCAGTACCCTCCATGTCAAATCCCTGATGATAAAGGGCAGACTCCCACACATAGAGCCTCCCAATGGGAGTAATCACTCAAGACCAAAACTCCGGAATGTAAAACAATGACTGAACGTGTATTCTGATTGCTAGATGTTTGCTAGATTCACATACATCAATATACTGTATTACTGGGTTTGCCCTAAATACAAGCTTTTCTCAACATTTGGTATAAGATACATAATTGAATAAAGCACCAGCTAATAACTTACTTTCATGTTTTGGATACAGAACATCATATCCAGGCAAAGGCAACACTACGTCATGTATAGTATGTTTCTCCACATCAGACTCCTCAATTGGAATTGCTGTAACTGAAAAATCAACAGAACAGGCAGTTTTCATCTGTTATATATCAAATGTTGATTGCTGCTACTAAGCATGTCCTATTTCTTTTAAATCAACACTTGCAGCAAACAATTTTCACTGATAGTATAGGTCATGTTCACATTGATGTATAAAATGTCAACGCTTTATTCAAACGTGACTCCTGAATGCACCAGATTGAAAAAATGCAACACCACCTACAGCAGGTAGCTTGAGTGCTTGGAATTCACATGTACTGTTGTATTTATCAATCTTGTTGGAGATCCATTTTTAAAGCTGCCAAAGCTGGCTTATGAGTAAATACTTAAGTTGATCTATTAATAGGGCATCACAGTGGCACATTGGTTAGCACTGGTGCCTCACAATGCCAGAGACCCGAATTTGTTTCTAGTCTTGCGCGACTGTCTGTGTGGAGTTTGCACATTCTCCCCATTTCTAAGTGGGTTTTGGCTGGGTGCTCCAATTTCCTCCCAGAGTCCAAAGATGTGCAGGTTAGGTGGAGTGGCCATGTTAAATTGCTCCATGGTGTTCAAGGATGTGCAGGCTAGGTGGAATAGCCATGGTAAATGCAGGGTTATAGGGATAGGGTGGGTCTTGGTAGGATGCTCTTTGGAGGGTCAATGCAGACTCAATGGGCTAAACGGCCTATTCCTGCACTCCAGGGATTCTATGATTCTGTGACCTTTAAGAAAGCAACTAGCTGACCTTACCCTCTCCAGCATAAAAACAACTCTAGTCCCAGATTAATGTGTTCATCTTGTCCTAAAGCAATAAAAAAATCTGATGCTGCTCTCACTGTCTTATAACAATTAACCGATTAGGCGGAATTCTGTGTATATCATCAAGATTATTTGCACACTCAGCACTTCATCACTAACCTTACAGTACAAATTACACAGCGAGTACCATTATTCAGTCTCTAATTATTAACATTATACAGAGACAAGTCTAAGTTTGATAGGTTATAGTACAGATCTAACTAAACAGGCATATTTAATTTACCTCCTTTCAGTACCAAATCTCCTGGCACAGCTTTAAGTCCATATTTTTCAATCCTTTTGCTCACTATTTTATTCCACACATAGCTCTGATAACTGTGAATGTACATTAGTCGATTATTTCTTGGAATCTGAAAAGAAAGATATGGTAAATCAGTGACTTTTTCAAATCCCAAGCGTTCAACACCTAGATATCCAAAGAATTTCAAAAGACAAAATATTTTTCTTCAAGCTTTTAAGTAGATTTAATTTAAATTGATGCCTAAAGTTATTAATAATGAATACTTGCAATCTCTTCAAGCTTACAGGCTTAATTTTGCATAGGTTGCTTCACTGCAAGTGAAGTGCAGCTTTTAACAATTATATTAAGAACACGACAGATCATGACTATTCCTTCAGAACCTGGATAAAAATCAAATCTATATCAATCCTGTTGAAACATAGCAAAGGAATTCTTTGAATTTAAGTGGGTGACTAGGATTACATAGTACAGTACAGAAACTGGCCCAACCAGTGGTGGTCATGCTCCTCTCAAGTATGTACTAGCTGCAACTTACCACACCAAATGCTGATGCAATGTTCTTCATTCCATATTTTGCCAGGCCTCGCAGTAACTGTCCTTCTACACACCTTTTCACTGGAAGCTTTTTCAATGCAGCCTCAGGATCCTTGGTTTTAGCCCACTCTTCTCTGCATTTCACAAGATAACCTCTCTCTGCTAAAGGCGAGACAGGAGTGCTGTGTTTTATGAACTTTACCATTCAAATGCAGAAATTTTCTTGATTAAAAATAATTTGGTAATATTGGATATATGAATATGTAACAATTCCTACCTCCAGGTCGAGGTTTTAGGATTAGATCCATGACTTCACTCCATTTGTTATGCAGAATTGCTCTAAACAACACAACCAGTTATGACAATCAAAACACATGTCCAACAAAACACAGAACAGGTCGTCATCTGCCAGAAAATAATGGCAAATATAAGAGAAACAGAACAACATATTTTGAATTAACAAATGTAATATTATGGAATTTAAACATTTAAATCAGTTCCCAGCTCCCCAACCTTTCTTACAGTAATGAAGGATGCCTCAAGTGCAATAGAATCAATAATAATAATTGATGATGCCATTGGTGTTTTTCTAATAGAAGGCCCTGAATCAACACAAACAATGGAGAAAAACTGAACCCACTGCAAGAATGTGGAGTTACTATATCCACATATCAAGTAAAAGACTTCTGTACATATGTAACTCACGTAACCTCAGTGTTGGAAGCCAAGTTGAATTCTATACCAATCATCACAAATTAATACCAATTCAGATCACCCTCCTGACTGATCTTTTCAAAACTAACACAAGTGAGACAGTTGGCTGTCCACAGGGTAAGAGAACAATAAATACAAGTCTTAACATGTGAAAAGACTCATGGAGAATTCAACCAGCCTATACACAGTTGTTCCTATAAAATAACTGAGTTGTTAATTAGCTGCATGGATGATTTAAAAGGGTTTCAGGCTTTACTGTCATTTTTAGAAAAAAAATATTGATAACAAAAGAAGGCAGTATAATTTAGAGTGCTGAATTGAATGTTAAATTGAGTATAGGAACAGGAAGAAAAGTGAGAGGCAGAGAGCAAATTTAAAAATTTTAAATTTAAAATAATCCCCAACAATAATTCAAACCTGAAGGAATGCAATTCCGTTCTTGTAATAGGTAATTTCAATGCCAGAGGGGTTACTGGCATGAATTAATGTTTATTACATCATGAAAAAGGAACTTGGACTGAAATGAACAAACTCAACATGCAGTATGCAAATACATAAAGTTGACACCATTCAAAGCTTTTGAATGGGGAACACGGCAGCACACATCTGCCCTCAACCGAGATTCCAGTGGCATCTGAATGTAAATAACAATGAATGTTATAAGCTTCACCATAATTTTGTTGGCGTTTTTAGTGCAATGTTATTTACACATGCTGGTGATCAAAGTTTTGGCTGAACTTTGATAAGTGCAGAATTACTCTACAATTTGAGAATGAATATCATTTTTCCTGTTGATGTTATCATTATCTATGCTATCTATTCATCAGAACTGGTCAAAGAAACAGAATAGTGGTTTATAAAATGTCCCAAGGATATTAACAATGAATCTTCATCCTGAACAGTGTTTGTGTTTGATTATTTGAGGAATAGGATGGAAAGAGAAGAAGGGTTGAAGAAAAGGTAAAAGATAAGGGAAGGGAAATAGATGAAGGTACTATAACAAACAAGGGAAGATTATAATGGGCATATGCTCATCAGGTTTTGGTTTCTCAAAAATATGATTTGAAACATATAATATTTCAGTATGACACTAGTTTCATGCAAAGGGACATAACTTTGGCAGCATTACCATTAATTAAAATAAAATTTCAGATCGATTTAATTTTGATAACAAGGCAAAAGGTTCATTCAGTAAATCTATAATACACTGCTGCTCTATTCAATAAAAACAAAGATGAAAAGCTTAACTTTGTTCATTAAAATTTTAGGTTCAAACAAAGATTAAGATCTAACAGGACTGTTTTCCCTTCTGACCTCAGTCAGCAACTCAAGCAATCCAGAGATCTGATTACAATCTAAGTTGATCCTATCCTTCAATACTGCAATGTAATGAACGCTAAATTACCAGAAGTGGCATTTTTGGAATTAGGTCTTACCTAATTATTCGGTTGAGCATATTCCATACTATTGTCACTAAGATAAATTCTCTGGTCAATCATTTCACTGCGTTTTGAAGACATTACCGGGTACATATTGGCTGCCACTTTTAACTATATTTGAGAAGTTCAAGTTGCATATGAAGCATTTTGAGATGCCCTAAGAACACAGAATTACTATATAAATGCAAACTATTTTATTCTCCTTTATTTTTGGCTGTTATGAAGCAGAATTGCTTCAAAAACATGCTCACTTAAGGCATACCAAACTCTCATGCTTAATGTCTGTCGTATGTTTAATTGTGAATCATCTTTATTTCAATGGGAACAGAGAAAGTACCATCTGAAAAGTACAAATATTGACAGTTTCTCTGGCAATATAGTTCATTACATAAATAAGCTTGGACTCCTATTTACAGCATAAGAGGAGACTGTTTGGCTCACTGTGTTCACACTAGCCAAAGATCTGACTACACAAATTAAACTTTCCAGTTTTTGGCCCTTAGCCTTGGAAGCTATAGCAATGCAAGTGAATACCTAAATACTGTTTAAAATACTGAGAAATTCTAGTTCAACAAACCTATCAGGCACTCAGTTCCAGACTCCCACCACCCTCTTGGTGAAAAACATTTATACACAATTCTCCCCTTACCTTTAATCTATGTATCCTGGTTATTGACTCCTCTACTCATGGAAAAAGTGCCTTCCTATCCTCCCAATCAATATCCCTCAATTTTATGCACCTCTATCAGTTCCCATCTCCAAGGAAAACAAACTGAGTCTAGAAGACAATAAGATATAGGAGCTGAATTCAGGCCATTCAGCACATCAAGTCAGCTCCACCATTTGATCACAGCTGATGTGTTTCTCAGCCCCATTCACCTGTCTTCTCCTTGTAACCCTTGATCCCTTACTATTTATCTCTGTCTTAAATACACTCAATGACTTGGCCTCCACAGCTTTCTGCGGCAATGAGTTTCACAGATTCACCATCCTCTGGCTGAAGAAATTCCTCTTCATGACAGTTCTAAAGGGTCAACCCTTCAATCTGAGGCTCCTCATCTCCCCTACTGGTGGAAACATCTTGTCTACGCCGACTATATCTAGGCCGGTTAGTATTCTGTAAGTTTCAATGAGATTTCCGCCTCCATCCTTCTAAAGTCCATCAACTACAGATCCAAAGTCCTTAAACACTCATGTGACAAGCCATTCAAGCCTGAGATTATTTTTATGAACCTCCTCTGGACTCGCTCCCAGGCCAGTACATCAATCCTTAAAAACAGGGCCCAAAACTGCTCACAATATTTCAAATGCAGTCTGACCGCAACCTTATATAGCCTCAGCATACACCTCTGCTCTTCTTTCTAGCCCTCTCAAATTAAATGCTAGCACTATATTTGCTATCCTAACTGCCAATTGAACCTGTATGTTAACCTTAAGAGAATTGTGAACTAGGACTCCCAAGTCCCTGTGTGCTTCAGATTTCCAAAGCCTTTCCCCACTTAGAAAAATAGCCTACCCCTCTATTCCTCTAACCAAAATGCATAACTTCATACTTTCCCACATTGTATTCCATCTGCCACTTCTTTGCCCACTCTCCTAGCCTGTCCAAGTCCTTCTGCAGCCACCCACTTCCTCAACACTACCTGTCCCTCCATCTACTTTTGTGTCATCTGCAAACTTACTAACAATGTCCTCAGTTCCTTCATCCAGATCACTAATGCATAACGAGCTGTGGTCCCAACACTGACCCCTGCAGAATTCTGAAAAGGACCCCTTTATCTCCGTTGTGTGCCTTCTACCAGTTTGTCTGCTTCTATCCATACGAGAACCTTGCTGCTAACACCATGGGCTCTTATTTAGCAGCCTCCTGGTGGCATCTTGTCAGGGGCCTTCTGGAAATCCAAACAGATCACGTCTACTGCCTCTCCTTTGTCTAAATTGCTTGTTACCCTCTCCGAGAATTCTAACAGATTTGTCAGGTATGACCTACCCCTGATGAAGCCAGACTAACTCAGCACTATTTTACCATGTACTTCCCAGTACTCTGCATCTCATCCTTAATAACAGACTATAAAATCTTAACAATGACCAAGGTCAGGCTAACTGGCCTATAATTTTCCATCTTCTGCCTCCCACCCTTCTTAATTTTGGGTGTTACACTAGCCATTTACCAGTGATTCCTGAAAGAGCATCACCAATGCCTCCACAATCTCCTCAGCTATCTTCTTCAAAGCACTGGGGTGGAGCCCATCCGGTCTGGGTGATTTATCCACCTTCAGAACTTTCATTTTCCCCAGCAGCTTCTCCTGAATGATGGCCACTATACTCACCTCTGTCCCCTGACTCTCGACGTTTTGGTATGCTACTGGTGTCTTCTACCATGAAGACTGATGCAAAGTACCTATTCAGTTCCTCCACCATATCTTTGTTCCCCATTACTATTTCTCCGTCCTCATTTTCCCACGGTCCAATGTCCAGTTTTGTCCCTCTCTTACCTTTTAGATATCTTTAAAAAAAAAAATCCTCTTGCAATCTTCTTTTATATTACTAACTAGTTTACCCTCGTATTTCATATTCTCCCCCCACTTAATTGCTTTTTTAGCTGTAATCTGCTGGTTTTTAAAGGCTTCCCAATCCTCTTGTTTCCCACTAATCTTCACTACATAGAAAACGGAAGCCCCCTTTTGTTTTTATGCTGTTCCTGATTTCCCTTGTCAGCTCTCGTTGCCTTGTCCTCCCCTGTGTATGTTTCTTCTTCCCTGGGATGAATTTCTAACCTCAGAAACTCCTGCTACTGTTGCTCCACTGTCTTCCCTGCCAGGCTCCCCTTTCAATCAACTCTTGTCACCTCCACCCTCATGCCTTTGTAGTTATCTTTACTCCAATGTAATACCATTACATCTGACTCAAACTTCTCCCTCTCAAATTGTAGACAATATTGTTGTCAGTGCTCCCTAGGGGTTCCTTCACCTTTAGCTTCCTAACCAAGTCTGCCTCACTATACATCACCAAATCCAGAATTACCTGTTCCCTAGTTAGTTCTACCACAAGCTGCTCCAGAAAAATCTCATAGACGTTCCACAATTTCCTTTTCTTGGGATCTGCTGCCAACCTGATTTTCCCAGTCCACCTGCATATTGAAGTTCCCACATTATTGTAATATTGCCTTTCATACATGCCTTTTTTACCTCCTAATTTATTTTCTGGCCCACATCCTGACTATTGTTAGGAGGCCTCTGCATAACTTCCATAATGGTCATTTTTCCTTTCTGGTTCTTCAACTCTATCCACACAGATAAAACGCATGAAGGTAGATAAACCCCTGGGACTTGGTCAAGTGTACCCCAAACTTTGTGGGAAGTTAGGGAAGTGATTGCTGGGCCCCTTGCTGAGCTATCTCTATCATCGACAGCCTTGGTGAGGTGCTGGAAGACTGGAGGGTGGCTAATGTGGTGCCATTATTTAAGAAAGGTGGTAAGGAAAAGCTAAGGAACTACAGACTAGTTTGACGTCAGTGGTGGATACGTTGTTGGAGGGGATTCTGAGGGACAGGATTTACTTGTATTCGGAAAGGCAAGGAATGATTAGGGATGGGCAACATGGCTCCATGTGTGGGAAACTGTGTCTCACTAACTGGATTGAGTTTTTTTAAAGAAGTGACAAAGACGACTGATAAAGACAGAGCGGTGGAAGTTGTATATATAGACTTCAGCAAGGTATTCGACAGGATTCTGCATGGTAGACTGGATAGCAAGGTTAGATCACATGGAATCCAGGGAGAGCGAGCCATTTGGATACAAAATTGGTTTGAAGGTAGCAGACAGTGGGTGGTGGTGGAGGGTTGCTTTTCAGACTGGCGGTCCATGACCAGCAGTGTGCCGCAAGGACTGGTGCTGTGTCCACTGCTTTTTGTCATTTATCTCAATGATTTGGATGTGAAAATAGAAGGTATGGTTAGTAAGTTTGCAGATGTCACCAAAACCAGTGTAGTGGACAGCGACAAAGGTCATCTCAGAGTACAACAGGATGCTAATCAGACGGGTCAATGGGCCGAGAGGTGGCAGATGGTGTTTAATTTAGATAAATGTGACATGTAGCATTTTGGAAAGGCAAACCAGGGCAAGATTTATACACAAATGATAAGGTCCTGGGGAGCGTTACAATACAGAGACCTTGGAGTGCAGGTTCACAGTTTCCTGAAGGTACAGTCGCAGGTACACAGGGTAGTGAAGAAGGTATTTGGTATGCTTGCCTTTATTGGTTAGTGCATTGAATATACTAGTTGGGAGGTCATGTTGCATGTGTACAGGACATTGGTTAGGCCTCTTTTACTGCATTCATTTCTGGTCTTCCTGCTATTGGAAGGATGTTGTGAAACTTGAAATATTTACAAGGATGTTGCTAAGGTTGGAGGGATTAAGCTGTAGGGAAAGGCTGAATAGGCTGTGGCTATTTTCCCTGAAGTATCAGAAGCTGAGCGGTGACCTTATAGAGGTTTATAAGATCATAAAGGGAACAGATAGGGTGAATAATCAAGATTTCCCCAGGGTAGGAGAGTCCAAAACTAGAGGGTATAGGTTTAAAGTTGAGAGGGGAAAGATTTAAAAAGAGACCCAAGAGGCAACACTTCATGCAGAGGGTGGTGCGTGTATGGAATAAACTGCTAGAGGAGATGATGGAGGCTGGTACAATTAGGACATTTAAAAGCCATCTGGACAGGTACATGAATAGGAACTGTTTAGGAGGGATATGGGCCAAATGCTGGCAAATGGGACTAGATTAATTTACGATATCTGGTCAGCATGGACATGTTGGACTGAAGGGTCTGTTTCTGTGCTGTACATCTCTATGACTCTATTATCGTCTGACCCTATATAGTTTCTTGCTAGTGATCTAATTTCATTTCTTACTAACAAAGAAACTCTACCTCCTCTGCCCATCTGTCAATAGTTCCCAGCCCTGATTCCTCATCAGCCAAGGTTCTGTGATGCCCACAACATCATACCTGTCAATTTCAATTGCTGCTACCATCTCATTTATCTTGTTTTGTATACTACATGCATTTAATATCTTCAGTCCTGCACTGACCATCTTCTCATACTTATCCCCTTTTCTGCTGTGCCTGAAATTAGAACCCAACCCTTTCTGTATTCTTTGTCATATTACTTGTTCTGGAAAGTTTAAAGCCTATTGATTGTTTCCTCATAGTTCAGGCTCTCCAGCCCAGACAGCACTGTGGTAGATCTCCTCTGCATCCTCTCTACTGCAATCACATTTTTCCTGTAATGTGGTAAGCAGAACTGCACATAGTATTGCTGTTATGTCCGAACCAACATTTTACATATTTCAAGCATAATCTTCTTACTTCTGTATTCTATGCCTCACTTACTAAAGGCAAGTTATCCAAATGTATTCTTAACCACCTTATCTATCTGAACTGCTACCTTCAGGAATCTGTGGACAGATCTTTTTGATCTTCAGTACTTTCCAGGGAATTACCAATAATAGTGTAATTCCGTGACTTGTTAGTCCTCCCCAAGTGCATTACCTCACACTTTGAGGTTTTCCATTTGCCACTGTTCTACTCACCTTAACAATCTGTTGATAATCTCCTATAGTTTATGGCCCGCCTCCTCACTATTTACCACTTCAATTTTCATATCATCTAAAAACTTGTTCTTGCTCATAACCCCTGTATTCAAGTCCAAATTGTTAATGTACACCATTAAAAGGCAAGGGCCCTAGCAGCGAGCCCTGTGGAACTTCACTGGATGGAGACTTCCAACCACAAAAACATGCCTTCACCCTCACCCTCTGCTTCCTGCTGTCAGCCAATTTTGGATGCCACAGACTATTACTTACTTGTCAGCATGAAAAAAATATCATAAAGCATTTATCCTTGATTAGTCTTTGCTATATTTCAGTGTAGTGTGCTATATGGCACTATTTCTACAGAAATTAAAAAATGAAGGTTTAACTTACTTTCCTACTTGGTAAGTAGGAACTGCTGTTGTTCCAAATCTCTGCATTCCATAATAATTAATAAATCCAATGTCCCTCAGTGAAGTCATTGCTTGCTCTACTTGTTCATTTGATCCTGTGATATTCCTAAAAAAAATTACAAATACGATCAATAAGAACTTTAAAGTTGTCCACGTCAAGTTACAAAGATTAACGGGTAAAATTTGATTTTGCACAGAGAGATACATCATGCTAAAACGAAAATATACCAGTTCTAAACAAATTCACTTTGCCCTTTAGCTGTTTATTCACAATTTAGTACATTACTCAGCTGTTTGTGTGTTGCCAAATAAACAAAGTCTAATGCTGACTGTGCTTTCCAAGTCCTCACTAATAAAGTCTAGCTTTCAGACTTATGAAATGCCTTTGCATGCAAGTGTGGGACAAGCAACCATTCCTGCAGATAAACCTGAACAATGACACATTTTATATTTCCAGTTAAGACAGACTTCCAATGTGACAGTCTTGTTTCGTGCCTCCAGGGTTGTAGTTTTAACTTGCAACTAATAAATACGAATTAGTAAGATTTTAGCTAAACTATGCCTATTCAAGTACTATACCAAGATACTGATAACTTTAATAAAAGATGGTTCATGGGTTTTTAGCTGCTGATATCCATACATTCCGTTATTAATCATTCTCTGTAAATGAGACTGTAACTTCACTTGTAATTATAATTTAATCTAAATTCAGTGCATTTTCTCCTTCATAGTTTAATGTTCTGAGGTTACACATAACTGCAGCATTGGTTCCACATGAGAGAAATTTGAGATGAATCTGACAAAGAGCCACATAAAGGGAGATCTCCACCTGACAACGATCACAAAAGTAGGCAGGAGGGGGAAGCCAGATTATTAACATTTAGTGACGAGTTAACAAGATATATCTTATTCACTGAACTTCAATATAGGTAGGTGGCATATTGCACAACCTAGAACTAGTCATTATAATGATGCAGACTTGCAGAACTCATAGGTTTTGAGACAACACCTGTCTTTAAAAGTTGCCTGGAAGTTGCGTAAGTGAACCTATGCTGTTATATCCAGGGTAATAGCCTTTGAAGTATGATGTTTAGTGGAAGCATTATTAAATAGGGCAGTGTGTCTTTATGGTGCAGCTAGGAGGATATTAGCAATGTATTCACATATTTTAGGTTTAATTGTGTTGTTCACACTGTTCAGGAAGAGATAATGATATCTGCTCTCCCCTTAACTGTTCCATGTTGTTTAAATTTAGGTGCTAAAAAGGCTCTCTCATGAAAATGAGACAACACACTGGGCAATAAGCACCAAATAATACTTCTACAGACAGCTAGCCCGTTTAATTGATGGTTATTAATCAGAAATGTCATTGAGAACTCAGCTCCAGATAACTCTATGAGCCAATCCTCAAACAAATGGCAATCAAAGCAACAACAATATGATTGATGAGAGACAATATTAGACAATTAAACAGAGTCACTAGCCAAGAAAGTGATGTGAATGAGAGCACTACTGAGTGAAGTATTAAGAAAATCAGTATTTAACAAGATGGGTAAGAGTAAGTATGTTACAAAAGTGAAAACAATACAATAGTTTAAAGTTAGGCTTACCATGGAAAGGAAAATATCTAATAGAAACATTCAACTTCAAAATGGCAGATTTTAAAGCAATAAGCTAAAGAAAGTTGAATTAATAGTGCTATTAACAGACAGCAGATGTAAGCCAGTTTTATAGATGTTATACATAGAGGTTGGAACAAGTATCTACCAGTAGAGTGGAAGGGGTGAAGAAATGGAGAAACCAAGCCAAATATGAAGCATTCTGGATTAATTGAGAAGTGTCAAATGATATTAAATGTGAATAAATGTAATAAGATAAGGGAAATGAAATATAAATAGGCAACGTGATAAAGTGAATGGTGCTAAGCTTTAGGGTACAACATGGGAAAGGAAAAGATGGATTGCTCACAGAATCTAGCTCTGCAATATGAAGCAGTAGTAAGGAAAGCTGAAAAGACGGAGCAAAATTCCAGGAGCTGATAATGAGTCTAACAAGTCCACAGGAATGGTCGCACCGAGGACACGGAGTACAATTCTGGTCACCATGTTACACAGCAAGGACCAGAGAATAAAAATTTAGAATACACGAATATTCAGAACAGAGCTGGTGCAAAAAGGGAAAGTAAATTTATGTCTAGCCAGGAGACAGGGTTGAAGAGCATGAGATAATGGATTCTAGAGGGGAAAAATGTAAATTGATTGCCTAAAAGTTCAGGAACATTCCAAAATCAAAGGCACTTACAAAAATCTGGTCTGGGCAGACAGTTTAAGATTTTCTTGTCACTTCATACGATAATAATTATAAAAATTAAAAAGAGTCACAAATTTGGACTCCAAACAAACTCAGTGTGAAGTTCCAAGACAACTAACTACTTTACACAAAGGGTAATGAATGTATGAAAGCAACCACAAGAGAAGGCAGTTACTTTGGAAACATTTAATAAGGAATCAGTTGAAGTTTTGTGGGGGTGAGTGATTGAAGAACATTAGTTTCTGGTATCAGCCAAATGCATTGTAGTATTTTTATATCCTGTTTACATCCAGGTTCCTATTTAAGCTTTCTTGTTTCTCTGCTGTGTATCTCTACAACAATCATGGGAAAAATTCATAGCCAGGTCATGTTCAAATGTTGCAAAGTTGGTATAGTACTTATGGATTGCAAAGCAGGACGTTAGAATTTGCTTGTAAAATGATAGGGGAGGGAAAGAGTATGTGGTTCCCTTAAAAGGTGTGTTTTTTAAGCTTGGAGATTTAACAAAGTGTCTGCAGGCATCAACAGATGCTTAGAGAGTTCTTGAAATTGAAACATTGTATCAAAAGACAATACTGTTAGCAAGCAAAGCAGCATTTTTACCAAGGCAAGGTTTTTGAATTTAGCCAATTAATTTAAACCAGGCCCTAGATACCAAAGCCCAATTAAATTTAAATCTGATGGTGTTGACAACCTTGGACCAATCCTATCGTAAGGAATTAGTGGGTCATCAAGGGTATAAAAGAAGTCATTTGAAAATCAGGGTGAGAGTAAACTGCCATCTGTTAAGAGAACAGCTCTCAACAGCTATCAGCTCTAAAGAAAGAGAAAATCACTGGCTCTCACAGAAATCTCCAAGATCTCAGAGTCAGCACCATCTAAGTAAAGGTACTACAGCACTCTTAGCTCATATTCCTGACAAAGGAATTTGACGGGGGAAGGTATTCCTAACTGGAGGACAACGGAGAAGGCAAAGAACATTCCGGAAGATTTAACCTGGCTGTAACTTGAGAGAGGGCGGCACAGTGGCTCAGTGGTTAGCACTGTGCCTCACAGCGCCAGGGACCCGGGTTCAATCCCACCCTTGGGCAACTGTCTGTGTGGAGTTTGCACATTCTCCCCGTGTCTGCGTGGGTTTCCTCCGGGTACTCCGGTTTCCTCCCACAGTCCAAAGATGTGCAGGTTAGGTGGATTGGCTGAGCTAAATTGCCCGTAGTGTTCAGGGGTCTGTAGATTAGGTGGGTTATAGGGGGATGGGTCTGGGTGGGATGCTCCAAGGGTCGGTGTGGATTTGTTGGGCTGAAGGGCCTGTTTCCACACTGTAGGGATTCTATGATTAAGCTTTAATTTTTTTTTATTAATTTAGTTTATATAAGCGGGACTTCTATCTATTGGAACAGCTTACCATTAGAATTTTATTTTATTCAGGAATAGTTAGAAGTTAAGGGCGATTTTTCGGTTTGTTAGTAGTTCTGTTAATTTCTTAACTGTTGGAGTTAGATAATTAAATTGTTACTTGTTGATTATAAAGTCAGTATCAGGGATTTCTTTCATTTAACCACTCCTTGAATAGATTACAAAGGCAAGGCTAGCTTCTCTGGGTGTTTCAGTTTCAATTATCGGTGGGGGGGGCGGTCAACCACTCCTTCATAACACTAAAGTGATGTGACAATAAAGGGAATAAAAAGTGAGGCAATGTATAAGCGATTAACTATAAACATTCATAACATTTGAAATGGGAATGGTTTCCAAGATACACAGTCCATTTTTTAAGAGTATAACAAACGTTAACTTACAAATTACAAATCAAATAGATTTTTCTTATTCCTTAAAAACCTTACCTCAGAACAACTGTAAAATGATTTCCTTGCAACTCGCCCAACTTCAAGGGATATTTTTTATAACTGAAATTCCCTAGCTTGAAGTTCATTAAACATTTGTTCAGATGAGAAAGCCTCTCTGCAGTGATTCTGTGAAGAAATTCAAGCATATTACACCCGCATGACATTGAAAATTAAATCATTCTTGTCAGTCTACATGATTCCTCCTAAAACAAACTTCAGGATATAAAGCTTGAGATTTCCATATTGTTGAAATGATATTAATATGAAGATATGCAGGTCACAAATGTGGACCTGAACAAATATCTAAAATGAAGACGTATTAATTCACATGACTGGACTCACATATTTTTAACTGGTCTCCTTAATGAGGCAGTTTATTCCCTTGGCTAGTAACCAACGAGGAGTAAATTTCTTCACCCAGAGAAGGGTAGACCTGTGTAAGTCTCTGTCACAGAAAGTGATTGAGGTCAAAACATTGATTGCTTTCAAGAAGGAGTTTGATATAGTTCTTAGTGTTAGAGACATCAAAGGGTATGGGGAGAAAGCAGGTGACTAAGTTGGATGATCAGCCACGATCATATTGAAAAGTGGACTTGAAACTACTCCTGCTTCAATTTTCTACAGTTCTATGGTTCTGTGTAATCCAGCAATGCAATCTAGAATCAACAATGCAAGATGCTCAAAACAGTTATAAGTACTGTTCGCAACTTATGAATCAACGGGTGTGAGCGCCGAACCTGTTAACAGGATTTAAGCATAGCTGTTGAAGCCAACAAAACGGCCTGATGTAAACAGCACCGGGAACTCAAAAGGACTTACATTAAACGTTTCAAACATAATCAGTCCAATTCAATTGCAATGCCTGGAATAAAGTATAACAGCATCATGGAAAAAACCCCTAAAGAGCAAACTCTTTTGAGATTTGGACAAAACAACTTGTTACAAGAGTGTAACTAATCAGATATGTTGCCAGACTTAACTTTAGCCTGTACATGCTATGTGAAATCATCGTTTCTGCTAAATCAAAGTTGGGCTCACTATTTGTGGGTCTGTAAATTCTTCACTTTGCTGGCGTCAATAGCCAAGAAAGGGTGAATATGTCAGCAAAGCAGTTCAATAACTACATACTACTTGTGAGGCAATACTTACTTTACAACTGCAATTTCTTGTACTGTTATAGCCCTCTTATCTTTAGTTCCCATGTAAGAAAATATATTTGGCTTTACTCTGCAGAAACATTGAAGAGAAAAATATTTAAGATAGAGATAAACACAAATATCTAAAAGCATAAAATATATTTTGAAAAAGGTATCCACCTTTGTAAGTGCATAACTCTGGACTGAAAGCCAATAGTTGAGGTTTGAGCTTGAGTTAAATACAGAACTGAGACAACAAAACATGAGAAAGAATTACTTCACAACTTCTAAACACGATTCCATAATTTTATAGAAATCTATGTAAGCAGCACTGCAGTTAGAACTAGTAATCGATTTAGGAAATGACCCATTGAAAAAAACAGCAAGAGAATGAATTGACTAGTTATTTCAGCAACTAAAGTAGCATTTCAAGGGAAAATAATGGATTAGGAATCCAGGGACCCAAGTATTGTTCTGGGATCCTGGGTTCAACATCACAGCAGAAAGCAGAATTTGAATTCAATAAAACAAAAGTCTAAGGATGACCATGAAACTAGCGTCAATTGTCATAAAAACCCATCTGTTTAACTAATGTCTTTTAGGCAATGCGACTGTTGTCCTTCCCTAATCTGGCCTACATGTGACTTCACAGAAATGTGGCTGAATCTTAACTGCTTTCTGAAAAGGCCTAAAAGGCTACTCAGTTGTATCCAAGGGAAATTAGGGATGGGCAGTAACTGCTGGTCCAGTTTGCGATGCCCACATCTCATGAGTGAATAAAAAAGTCAAAATTGAACAACAGGTTATTTACAATGTATGCAATCAAATACTGAGTTGCATAAATAATCAAAAAATTACTTGGCCAATGCATTTTACTGAACTTTCTCTGGTAGCCTTAGAAAGGCTTTCCAATATAGTCAAACTTATCATACTACCTGCAGGTGTACCACATAAACACATTGCCAATGGAGTTAGATATACAGAACATCAAGGCCACTTGCCTCCTCCTCTCCTTTCCCTCCAGTCCAGAGCTTAAATCTTCTCCCCTGTCCATCATATTTCACATTCCTCCCTCACCTTACTCCATTATACATACTCTGTGTGACCTCAAGAAAATGCAACTTGATGCAACTCCCCACTATAAATTAATGATCCATTGATATGCATGTATTTAATCAATTTTAATTCATATAAACTGAAAAGCAGAACAGTAAAATCTTTTTGTAATATATAGTAACATTTGGTGTAAAGGATATGTAAACATACCTTAGAAATTTAGACAACACGTTAATAGCATCCATTGTGTCTTTGTTTTCCTTATAAAGCACAAAATGGCAGTAGCTCCCCCTGTTTTTGGGCCAAGAGTGCTTTCTGGGATCTTTGAAAATAAAACAATTCAGTAAGCAAAAATGATGTTAAAACACATCTTCCCTTTAGCCAAAACTTCCTCAGTGAATAGAATGCACATCAATTTAAAAACAATAAGTGCATAAAGAAGCAAAACATAAGCTGATCAATTTCTCTAACTCAATTTGCAATCTTTAACTAAAAGCATCCATGATAAGCAGCCACTAGATTTAGAGAGTTCACCATACATTATGTCTCATCTGCAGGGTACTAATTTACAGTCAATGAAGTCAATTTATTATTCCATGGATACAATAACTTTTACATTAAACCCCAGGATGAATTCTACGATTTGTTCCAGTTTCCTATGAAAATGATAGACCAGTAGCACTGCACATGGGTCAGGGAATCATGATACAGCCTGGAAAGAGGGCATGCAGTTCATTGAATTTGAGTCAGCTTTTTGGTACAGCAAATAAATAGACAAACACCCCCGCTTTTATCACCCTTTAAGTAACCCTTTAAATGCTCTCCTTCTATTCTTCTCCTTGTACTTAGTCAATATAATTAGTAAAAAGAATCAAGTAAAATTTGTCTGTATATTTCATGTCAGCTACCGTTAAAATTCTTAAATCTATATACGACCTCAAAGAGATTTCCAAATGAATAGAAAACAAATGTGCAAAAAGTACTTAATCCAGTATCAAATCTTAAATAACTAATGTGTGATAGTGAATGGGAAGTTATAATATGTCATGGCATATAAAATTTCAATTCTGTTTAACAAAAATTGTTCACTCTCGGTTTGTTCATATTTAGTAGCATACTTTTACCAGAACATAAGTTGTAACCACCTAATGATGAAATTTCTTACAGTTTATCAGGAACTTTGTTTCAATCACACTATAATCAATGCTTGAACATTTTACTGCATTAAGATGCTATATAAAGATGTATGATGCCTGTTTCTCCGTTATGCTATCCCCTCGAGTCAGTTTGCTGCACCTTGGTGTCAGAAGGTTATTTATTCAAATCCCACTCCACAATGTCAGCTGACACTCCAGTGAATGTTGCATTGTCAGAAGTATCATTCTTTGGACAAGATGTTAAAGTTAGGCCTCAACTCCCCATTTCAGAGCTGCAGGTGATTTTCCTTTGGGTACAAAATTCCTCCCTCAATCACTAACACAACAAAAGGAACACCCTTCATCTCCTTGTTTGAGGGAAGTTGTCGTCACCAAAAGAGCTTCCACGTGATTTAAATTAACATAATAAATTGTTATAACATTGTTTTAAAAAAGCACATTTTTAATATGCATAGTTTTAAAGTACAAACTATATTTGAACATAGGATTCCATGCAATTTTCTAAAGCTTTTACATCCAATCAAAAAATTAAACACACAGGTTAAAATTTACTAAGCTATCGTTATTAAAAACTTGACCGTTTACACTCTGTTTAAGCTAATTTTTTTCTACCGTTTGAGATAAAAAGGTGATTTAAACAATCAATCTAACCTTTTTAATGGAATTCAAAGAAGGTTAGATTTTCAACTCAGAATTCAAAAGAAATCTGTTAAGAAAATTACTAAGTACAATGTGGTTGAAGATACCAGTCACTCATAGTGAAGCTTAAAACTGGCTTGGTGTTCCTTAATAATAGATTGTAATTTAACTCAACAGTCCAGCAAACATTCAGTAAGTTTCAGTTCAGCAGTTTTCAAATTAGTGTCATATTACCTTCCTTATGGCAAACAGGAGCTGTACCTTAGTAACCAAACATTACATTTACATTAGGCCAACAAACCCAAGGACAGACATTTCTAAGTAGCATTAGATTAAAACAATAATAATGGGCAATACGATGAGGTTTCTATAACAATCAATCCCACAAAATAAGTTACAAATTCAGTCAATAGCCATCTCGTCACAAGTTTTTCTGTAAAATATTGATGATTATTTGTATGGTAATTTCTAGAACTTCTTTTTAAAATGGGTCAACCATATAATGTAGTGCTTTTAATTTACAGCTTCAGAGAATAATCTTCACTTTGGCAAGCTGTATATAATGGTTGACATTTCTTTTCAGTGGAATGAAATATATCTTACCTGCTGCTTTGACCTCTGTCCAACCATTGAAAAGCATAAGAAGTATAAACAGAGCATTATTTAATTTTTAGAATGATATGCCAGTGTGGGTGTATTGCAAGTGGCCATGCAGGAGCTGCAGCTATGAATGGGTAAAACATGAGAAGTACGGAGGTCACCAAGCAGTCTAAATAATACCATTCTGATCCTCACTCAAATTAGTTTAGCAATTATTCAGCTGTTTGTAATGTTATCCAGATAGTGATCTCCTATACATGCACATGAGACTACTACTTATTTGCAGTTTAATTCATTTGCATGAGACTTTCAAAACAAAAATGCAAAAGTGTGTAACGAGTGGGAGACAATTATTCTTAGAGTAAACACTGAATATACATGATCAAAGATATTTATATAATTTGCCCGCTGTCGATTCACCATTTCCTCGGCTATATGCAAATACTTTGTACAAGTGAAAGGTTCACGGAAAACGTAATGGTCTTACGAAAAATCCTCATTCTTTATCAACAGCTTTGATCCCCAAATGAAACAAAAGTTAAGAAAAAGTAAAATTTTCTCCCTCCAAATGATAAATCTCCACTGTCTTGATCAAAGCCCAATACAATTAACTTGCTGGTTTAAAAATGAGCAACCTGACACAGATGATTCATGTTTTCTTTCCTTTTAAAAATGAAAAAAAATCATTTCTGCAAAGAAAAGCTTGAGCCCGCTGCCGAAAGAACATGGTCCTTTTGTGGTCCATATGCAAGCCCAGTTTTTCATTATAATAGAGATTTAGAATTGGACAACACAGAAGGCAGACATTTGTTATAGTAAGCCATCACCGGCTTTTTTAAAAGAGCAATCCAGTTTTTCTTATTCCCTTGTTCCTTCCCTATATCCCTTGTCTTCCTGTTTCTCATGATTTTTTGATTCCTTTTTAGAGGCTACCAAACAATCTGTTCTAACAATCTCATTCGGCTCTCCAAATCCTAACCACGTTTTAACATAATAAGTTTCCATTATGCCTGGTTGTTTTGCCCATTAGCTCAAAGCTGTATCTGGTGATTATTGATCCTTCAAGTAATTAAAAACAGTCTCTCTCTCCTTTTAAGTACTGGTCTATCCAAGTACGTACATCAGTCTGAGGGATTATTTAATGGAAACAATTTCGGGCGGGTGAACAGAGTGATAACTCTAACTTTGTTAATCTTTTTCTCACATGCTTCTAATATGTGTGTAACCCAGCTGGCAATATTTAAGTTGAAATTTGAGCACGTAACCTGGATTGACACTTCAGTGTAAGGAACAGCCAGATCTCAATGCCAATTTTCAAATTCCAAAGTTAACAAACTTATGCCAATGTTCACATCCAAAAGCAATCCTATTAATTAATTCTTCGTCAGAACAGGTAATAACTGACTAAGCAAGGAGGGACTGCTGTCCTCCCTGTCTCAATTTGGTTTTCTATTCACCAAAGGCTGCTAGTCCAAGCTACATAGCTATTCACACATTTGTTTTTGTTTCCCACTTGGTCAATTTTGCCATGGGGTTCCGTAGGCATTAGGCTATTCTGCTGTATACTTCAAATCTATTGCTGGGAGGTCACCTAACCATTGTAAGGCATAGGACCATGCTCAATTCTGACATTATCCAACATAGAGATAAGCACTTACAGGCTATGGAGGTCACTGGCTATTAAAAGTAGAAATCCTTCAAGTTGAATTCCATTCTGAACTAGGGATACTGTAGCTAATCAATATACCCCATTGTGAATAGCACGAGCAAGTTAAATTTGAAGGGTTCCTACTGTTGCTTGATATCTCAGTAACCTTTGCTGCAAAGGAAAACGAGGACAGCTTTAGATAACTGTAATCTGAAAGCTTGCCAAGACTCCAATACTAAGGATGGCTATCTGGTCGACTCGTCACACCTATGGAACCATCTCCCGCAAATTACAATGCTGTCAGAATGGGGGAAAACAAAGAAACCTTATAAGGGCACAGGCATTTTTCTTTATGCTAATATTATTTTATATTAGCTAATATTATTATATGCAGTGTTCTACAGTGAAAATTTGTGATGAAGAAAACTAGTTAGGACTAGTTATTGGATGTTACTGCATATATAATACAAGCTTGGATTGTGTTATTAACAGCTAACTCTAAATCATGTTTATCACAAGTTTATGGAATATCTTAATACTGCATATTTGCTGACACCATATGCTTCGATGCAGTAAAAAATACATTCATAAAGTAACCAGAAATAAATGATTCTTAACATTCTAATTGCAAATGCCAATGAAAAGTGAGTTGTATCATAAAACATTCTGAAAAGTTTTGCAAAAATGTTTGGGTTTGAAAATCACTCTGTTGCATCATTGTCATATGTTTCAACTTAAATTAGTTTAATTATGGACAATATTTTCATGAAGTACCAACAATTAATACATGTCAACCAACCAAACTTTAGAGACTATCAATGAGATGGTGCTACAAAACATACTGCACCCAAACAACTATTTCTAAATAGCAGCTCCAAGCATTAGAGCAACAGATTTTCTTCAGTTCTTTAAGACAATACGTTAACAGTACTAAATGCAGTGCATTTCTCCTTGAACTCTCTTTCCCTTCAACACCTTTAAAACATCAATATTTTCCAAAGCTCTGGAAGGTGTTGTTGGTCCTCAGATTTTCCTCCACTTTAAAGATCAAAGTCTTTTACATTATTTATGCTGTAGTTTTAAACATAACTGTTTCAACAATCATGTGGCTGTTAATCAACTCAACTTTGTTCTTGAATATCTGGCAAACAATCCATGATTGTGTTAGATTACTTCCAAAACAAGTCACTGTCATATTGTCTCCCCTGAGATCCCCAACGTTATCTTCATTTCAAATCATTCCTGCTTTGTTGCAGCTGATGGTCCATTGTCTAATCTTTTCCAATAATTTAGGAGTTTTGCAGAGTTCTGTCCTCTCTCTTCTACTTCTCTGCATTGCTAATATCTTCCATTTTTCATCAATCAGCCCTATTCATTCTCTTCCTCAGGTTTGTGAACATAGGAAGTATGGTTAGGAAATTTGCAGATGATACCAAAATTGGAGGTGTAGTGGACAGCAAAGAAGGTTACTGCAGAGTACCATGGGATCTTGATCAGATGGGTCAAAGGGCTGAGGAATGGCAGATGAAGTTTAATTTAGATAAATGTGAGGTGCTCCATTTTGGAAAGGCAAATCAGAGCAGGACTTACACACTTAATGGCAAGGTCCTGGGGAGTGTGGCTGAACAAAGAGACCTTGGAGCGCAGGTTCATAGTTCCTTGAAAGTGGGGTTGCCGGTACATAGGGTAGTGAAAAAGGTGTTTGGTATGCTTGCCTTTATTGGTCAGTGCATTAAGTTTAGTAGTTGAGAGGTCACGTTGCAGCAGTACAGGGCATTGGTTCGGCCACTTTTGGAGTACTGCATGCAGGTCTGGTCTCTCTCCTATAGGAAGGATGTTGTGAAACTTGAAAGGGTTCAGAAAATATTTATAAGGATGTAGCCGGAGTTGGAGGGTTTGAGCTATAGGGAAAGGCTGAATAGGCTGGGACTATTTTCCCTGGAGAGTCGGAGGCTGAGGGGTGATTTATAGATGTTTGTAAAATTATGAGGGTCACGGATAGGGTAAACAGGCAAAATCTTTTCCCAGTGTGGTGGAGTCCAAAACTAGAGGGCATAGGTTTAAGGTGAGAGGGCAAAGATCTAAAAGGAACCTGAGGGGCAACTTTATGGAATGAGCTACCAGAGGACGTGGTAGAGACTGGTACCATTACACCATTTAAAAGGCGTCTGGTTGGGTATATGAATAGAAGGGTTGAGAAGGACATGGTCCAAATGCTGGCAAATGGGACTAGATTTATATAGGATATCTGGTTGGCATGGACGAGTTGAACTGAAGGGTCTGTTTCAGTGCTGTATATTTCTATGACTTTATCACACTCTATATCCAGTAGTCATCTTCAGATCACATGCTTTCAGTGCTCAAGCTCCAGTTCAGTGCATGAATTCCATCTTCTTGTTCATTGTGTGCTTCCATGGGCAATGAAAACCTTGCATTAACCTCAGTACAGTCCAATTACCTTTTAAAAAAAAACTTGGAAGGATGACACAACAGGATTTCACATTTTAAGACTCTAATGTCACAAACAAACTAAAAGCACCATTGACAAAATACTATTTCAACAATTTATGTTTTAAACTACAGAACAAAACTTTACCCCTTTACATTTACCATAACCAAAAATCCTATTCCTAATCAAATATACTTATTTCCTTTTTCATATAGCTTAATCAAAAACTATATAATGTACAAATCTGCCTTTTTGATTGGTCTGTGCTAATGATGTGCTGTCATTCTTCACATGCTTTTGCCTCATCCTTAAAACGTAATGCAAATCTGATTCTGGTCTGTCATCTTTTGTAAATTTTGTTTTGCTACAGGTAAACGATTGACAGTCAAAGTAGAATCTGTGATACAAGTTGACATTACTCTAATCTCGTTAGACCATGCATCCTCCCCTGTCCCAGCTGGAACTATTAGCTTCCCACATATTTAAACTCCCTAAGTCATCCCTCTCACACCATGACTTCAACTTTGGAGCCAGTTCTTAAAAGATCTGAACAAT